CCCTGCCACCCCCTCCCCGCGGTTTACCATGAGCGTCTCCATCCTGTCTCCGACATCTTGAGGCTGCAGCAGCGCCGGGCGTGCCTTCTGAATCATGGAGCGAGGCCCGTGCGTGCCCCGGGCACGGGGCCCCGTCGGCGGGAGCTCTGGCCCGGCCCTCGCGGCGTCGGAGGAGGTGACGCGATGGAGGCAGCCGGGCGACGCGCTCCAAGGCCGGGGCTCTCTACCGTCTACACCTCCGCGGTCCCGGGCTGCCGCGCGAGCCTGCGCCCGGGAACCACCTGCGGCTCTTCACTCGCTCAGCGGACACAGCGGCTCCGCCCCCCGGCACATTCTGCCCAGACCCCGGGACTGCGGCCGGCGCGGCTGAACGTACCGGGCGGGAGGAACTGCTCGGACCGGCGGGATTGAACTTCCGGGGTCGGCCACGGGGCCGGGGCGCCGGCGGTGTGCTCCGTGGTGCCACCTGGTGGGGACAGCAGGAACTGCAGGGCCCGCGCCTCCCTGCCCCCCGAGGAGCTTGGTTAGCACCTGGGGGAATTCTGTCCTGGGGACTGTTCCAGGCTCTGGGGGTACAGCAGCGGCTAAAACGGAGGGAGCCGTGCCCTCAGGGGGCTGGCTTCCTAGTGGGCAGTGACAGGCAGCATCAGCTGTTGTACTGCCATAGCGCAGGCGCTGTTCTAAGTGTCTCTCTGTTTTCTGTCTTCTAATACTTAATTTAACACTTAGTTTGTCTCCTACTTAGCTCAAGTTCAGATTTTACTCGCTGTACCCAAACTGTCCTTCATAGCATTTCCCCCGGGTCCAGAATCCGGTTTAGGATCATATACTTCTGTTGGTGGGCATGTCGCTCTAGTCTGGTCCCCTTCAGCCTGGGCCAGTTCTGCAGCCTTCCCCTGACAAGCATGTTCTGAACGTGTGACACACGCAAGGGGACACACACAGAGCTCAAGGCCAGCTCTTCTCCTGCAGGCGGCCCTCTCAGTGTCAGCCACTGAGTGGCAGGCAGGTGGCATCAGAGCACCGCTTCATAACCCTGCCCGGCCCTCTCACGGAGAGCAGAGTTGTGCATTTTACCGACAAGGAAACTGAAGCACGGGACATTTTACTGTAATTTGCCCAAAGTTCCACAGCTAAAAAATCAATAAACGAAATTTGCCCTTGCTGCTTTTACCCCCCCATTGGAGCCCTGCTCTACGAACCCAGTCATTTTACCTCGGAAACTTCATTTGCTCAAAACAAAATGCTTTTTGCCCCGGCCAGTGTGGCTCAGCAGTTGAGCGTTGACCTAGGATCCAGGTGGTCACAGTTGAGTTCCCAGTCAGGGCACATGCCCGGGTTGCAGGCTCGATCCCCAGTGGGGGGCGTGCAGGAGGTAGGTGACCAATGACTCTCTCATCATTGATGTTTCTCTCTCTCACTCTCTCACTTCCCCTCTCTGAAATCAATAAAAATATATTTTTTAAAATGCTTTTATTTTGTATGCAAAAACATTGAAATCAGAATTATAACAGCATTTGAAAGTGTTTGTGAGAAAGTGTTTTCCAGATAAAACTTCAATAAGACATTTTATTTCCTTCATCCTGCTGTGAAAATATAGCACAATAAACGAAGTTGTAGGAAAAAAATAAAGTTGCCCAAAATTACACAGCTAGCACAAGCCTATATGTTGTGCATTTTCATGATAGTAATAGAAATTAACCTTTTATGCATACAAAGCTGTTTACAGGTTACAGGTTGGACATCAGGCAGTTCTGTGAAGCAGGCAGGATAGATGGCAGTGTTGTCACCATCGTCCATCAGCATCCTTGTCCTACAGATGACTTCCTTGATGCTCAGAGAGCTTGCCAACGTATCCGTTGCCATGTCCCCTCAGGAAGGCCTGGCATCGTTCAAGATCCGGAGGTACATCCTGCTTCACAAGTGTTGGCTGCTCCAAATGGTCTTTGCTGGGTTGGAGAGAGAAAAGCCCTGGCAGGCAGCAGCCTGGCAGCAGGCAGAGGAGACCACTCCCCAAGGCACACACCAACCACAGAGCTGGTCCATCCATCGGTGCCCAGCAGAGTGGCCCCTTCCAGGTGGCTGGCGCCACTCAGAGTCCTGTCCTCCAGAACTCAGCCTGCTCCAGGCCAGGCAGTGAGGCAGCCCAGCCGAGGAGCACAGGGCACATGTAAGAAGACCCGTGGACTTGCTGGCTGATGCAGGAGGTGGGGTGGAACTCCCATTGCTTTGGAGATGTCAAGCTCTGGAATTCCAGTTTGGCGGCCCCTTAGGTTAACAACAATCATCTGAAAGACTCTTTAAAGATCCATGGGAAAATGCTGGTTTAAGTGCCCAGCTCAGAGTAAATATGAATGTCCCTCTGCCCCCTTCCCCGTGTCCCTCCAGCCCTCATCATTTCAACTCAGCAAGTGTTGACTAAGTGGTTCACTGTGCCAGTGTGAAAAAATAGAATAGCTGAAATTAAGAGCACATTAAGAGCATATATATATATATATATAATAAAGCTACAAGAGATGAGTAAGAAAAGTGGAAGTGCTAACACTCAAATAACTAGAGGCCGGGGGAAATAGAGGCACACACATAAAAATTGAGAGGAGGACCATCTGAATAAATAACAGAGACCAACCTCTGGTTCAAGGAAGGCCAGAGAGGCTGGAAAGGTACAGTGGAGGGAGGAGTGGGGCAGGTGGGGAGAGGTGGACGAGGCCGGCTCTGCAGCGTTCTAAGGCCTGTTGAAGAGCTTTTTGTTTGTTGTTGATAATCAATAATCTAAGATTCCATTTCTAAAAGCTAGAATAAAACTGCAAATGAAACCCAAAGAAAGCGGGTAAGATAAAGATAAGAGCAAGAATTAATGAAAAGACAAAACCAGAAAATCAACAAAGTCAGAAGCTGGTTCTTTGAAAAGATTCGTAAAATTAATAAACCCCATAAAGCTGATCAGGAAAAAAAGAAAAAAAAAAAAAGAGGGAGAAACCATAAATGACCAATATCAGGAAAGAAAAGGAACATTACTTCAAAGCCACCTGCATTAAAACAGACCATGAAAGGACACTAGGAAGAATTTTATGATATGTTTGACAAGTTAGATAAAGTGGGGAAATTCCTGAAAAATCACAGCTTTCTAAAAGTGAGACAGGCAAAAATAGAAAATCTGAATAATCTCTATCTGCCAAAAAAATTGAATGCATAATTTCAAATCTTCCTACAGAGAAAGCCCCCGTGGCTTGCTAATGAATTTCATCAAACATTTAAGGGAGAAATAACACCAAATTTTTTATAAAAACTCAGTTGTAGAAAAGGGAATGCTTCAATGCATTTTGGGAGGCCAAACTTAACCAGGACCTCATAAAAAGAGGAAATTTCAGAACAATATCTCTCGTGAACACAGATTTTTAAAAAATCCTAAAAGAATACAATTACTTATTAAAATGACCATGACCAAGAGGTCGTTTTTCCCCAGGGAAAATAGTTTGATTTAAGATAAGACTCAATCAATGTAGTTCACCAGATAAACAGGATAATGGAAGAAAGATCTATTATCACCTCGAGATAAGAAAAAAAGCATTTGATAAAATCTAAATTCGTATATGATAAAGACACTCAGGAAACTAGAAAAAAAGAACCCCAAACAAACATTATACTTTATAGTGTAACATATATACTATCTCCACAAAGTCTTTGAAAGTTGAGATGATTCACTTGCAATAGGTAATTATTTAGAATTTTTTTTTTTAAAGGAAATTATTTAATGTGAAATATACCTCAGGTCTGTAACCAAATTTCCAGGAGTAAAGGGATGCTCGGAGTCCAACATAAACCATTCCTGTCATTGGGAAGAGCGGTGGCGGGGAAAGCAAAGGCCCCCCCGCCTTGAGGCACCGGCCTCACAGAATGTAGTCGGTGGTGGACGTACGGAAGGAGTGCTGATAGGAGAATGGCTTCTCCCTGGCTTCCTTGGGGACTGACCTCCCCAAGAAGAGGGAGATGTAGCTGCAACTTTGCTGAAATATTTCTGAGAGGTGTCTCTTGAACTTCTCACCCATGAAAGCATAGATAACAGGGTTCACACAGCAGTGAGTGAAGGAAATGATTTCTGTGACATGGGTGGCGTAAGTCAGCTGCTGGCTTATGACACATCCGTCCAAGACGTGCAGGTTGTGCAGGGATGTGAGGAAGAGGACCACGTTGAACGGGACCCAGAAGAGCAAAGATGCGACGACCACAATGAGCACCAACTTGATGGCCTTGCCCTTGTGCTGGTTCTGGCAGTTCTGCAGCTGGTGCAGGATGCTGACGTAGCAGAACATGAGGATGGTGAATGGGACCAACAGGCCTAAGATGTTCATCTCAAAGTGGGTGAAGAGCTTCCACTTTAAGGTCTGGTGATTGTAAGACGAATAACACTGGAGGATGCCGTCCTCAGAGGCCACTTGGTAAAACACTAGCAGTGGGCTGGTGGCCATGATCGCCACCAGCCACACTGTCAGGCTCAGGGCGGCGCCCACCCTGGCTGTCCTCACGTTCATGGCGTACACGGCGTGGACGATTGCCAGGTACCTGTCCACGCTCATGAGGGTGATAAAGAACATGCTGCTGAAGAAGCCAATGTAATAAAAGCCAGAGACCACCTTGCACATCACAGTGCCAAACACCCACTGGTGGAGCTGATAGTGAGTTTGAAAGGGGAAGGAAAAGACAAAAAGCAGATCAGACAGGGCCAGGTTCAAAAGGTATATGTCTGTGATGCTCCGCAGCTTCTTGCAGAGGACAAGGACCAGGATGACCAGGCTGTTCCCCAGAAGACCGAGTACAAACAGGAGGCAGTAGAAGATGGCCAGCAGCAACTTGCTCTCTCTCTGGATAACTTCCCCGTTGCAGGGGCTTGAGAGGATATCAGGGTAGTAGTAGTCAGCCGTTGTCACGTTGGGCTCGGGTGTATAATCCATCAGGGCAGGAGGACCTGGTCACCGAGGCACCTAGGAGACAGTCATGCTTTAAAAATATTTTAACTAAGAAGCCCAGGCTGAAGGTATCCCCCAAACCCCCATTCATATGTTGAAGTCCTAAAGCCTCTTACAGACTAAATGTTCTCACTCCTCTCCCAAGAATTCAAAGTGAGCCCTGGCTGGTTTGGCCCGGGGGTTAGAATGTCGGCCCACGGACTGAAGGGTCCCAGGTTCGAGTCCAGCCAAGGGGCAGGGGCCTCGGTTGCAGGCTGGATCCCAGGCCCTGGCCGGGGTTCGTGCGGGAGGCAACCGATCCATGTGTCTCTCTCACATGGATGTTTCTCTCTCTCTCTCTCTCCCCCTTCCACTCTCTCTGAAAAACAATGGAAAAAAATATATTTCCAGGTGAGGATTTAAAAACAAAACAAAGAATTCAAAATGAATCACAGCCCGAGTTTCACACGTACCCGATATAGATGCTATCTAGACGAGTTAAGGCCGTGGAGAGCCCTGAAATGGAGCGAATGCACTTTGCGTGTGAGAGGGACATGAGTTTCGGGGGGGCCAGAAGGCAGAATGCTATGGACTGAAGTGTGTCCACCCCCCACCTGTCAGATATTGAAGCCCTGATCCCCAATGTGGTGCCTGAGCGAGGTAATTCAGGTTAAAGGGGTCATGAGGGTATGGCCCTGATCCGGTTGGACCAGCGTTTGTATAAGAAAGGGGTGAGCATACCAAAGCCCCCCCCCTCTGTCTCTCACTGCACCTTTCTCATAGCAAAGTTTTTTGTGATATACCTCCTTGGCAAGGGAAACAAAATAAAAAATAAACCAATGGGACTACACCGAACTAAAAAGTTTTTGCACAGCAAAGGAAACCATCAGGAAATGAGAGGAAAACCCATTGAATGGGAGAGCACATTTGCCAATGACACATCGAAAAGGGGTTAATATCCTAAATTTATAAAGAACGCAACTCGACAAATGGCCAATAGACATATGAAAAGATGCTCAATACTCTTAACTATCAGAGAGGTGCAAATTAAAACCACAATGGGCTGTTGCCTCACCCCTGTCAGAACGGCTACGATTAAAAAATCCACAAACAACAAGTGCTGGCGAGGACTTGGAGAAAAGGGAGCCCTCGCGCACTGTTGGCGGGAACGCAGACTGGCGCAGGCACTGTGGAAAACGGTGTGGAGGTGCCTCGAAAAGTTAAAAATGGAACTGCCTTGACCCAGTGATTCTTCTTCTGGGACTATATCCAAAGAAACCCGACACACTGATTAGAAAGACTATATGCACCCCTACGTCCATCGCAGCACTATTTACAAATAGCCAAGATTTGGAAGCAGCCCAAGCGCCCATCAGCAGACGAGTGGACAAAAAAGCTGTGGGACGTTCACACAACGGAATACTACTCAGTCGTAAAAAAGAAGGAGCTCTTCCCTTTTGCAACAGCATAGAAGAGCCGAGAGAGTATTATGCTACGTGAAATAAGCCAGTCAGAGAAAGGCAAATACCGTATGGTTTCACTCAGATGTGGAATCTAATGAACAAAATAAAGAAACAAAATAGAAACAGGCTCATAGATGAACAGAACAGACTGACAGCTGCCAGAGGGAAGAGGGGCCGGGAGGCTGGGTGAAATAGGAGAAGGAATTAAGAAAAAAAGGCTCATGGGCACAGAGAAGAGTATGATCATTACCAGGGGAAAGGGGGTGGGGACAGGGGCAGACGGAGGAGAGTAAACGGGATAAATAATGACAGAAGAAGACCAGTCTTCGGATGGGGAGCGCTCAATGCCATGTGCAGGTGATGTGTTGTAGAACTGTGCGCTTGATATCTATACTATACTTTTACTGACTAATGCAACTCCAGTAAATTCATTAGAAAGAAATGCCAATTTTTCTCAAGTTGACATATACATTCAAGGCAATTTCAATGTAGACTTACTATTTTTCGAGGCATTTGATCGCTGGGCACCCAGAAATCCCTATTCACTGTGCCACCTTTCTCTAATTTGAAACTCCAAGCAAGTTAGCCAAATATATTTAAAAAACACAATTCCCTCAGCCGGAGCCACAGGAAGCCACTAAGACATGCAGGGTTTGCATACTCTGGGACACGCAAAGATTTTAAAAAATGACCTCTTGTGGCAGACCTTAGAAGTATGAGTCTCCCCTTTGCCTCTTTCAGAAGGACATAAAAGTGTCCCTGCCGGCTCATGGTCTCTTCCCCCGGAAGGTCAGTCATACATACCTTAATTCAAGCCTTTCTTTCCGTTGCTAATTTCTTCCTCTCACAGTCTGCACTCAGGTGCATGTGTAGTAGCACCTCTGTGGTAAGAGGCTGAATAGGGCTGGGCCTACGAAGCATCCTGTATTTTAAAAGTTAAAAAAGCCCAGCTGGGCGTGGCTCAGTGGTTGAGCATCGGGGCCTAGGACCCAGGAGGTTGCGGTGCAGGGGGCAGCCGATCAATGACTCTCTCATCAGTGATGTTTCTATCCCTCTCCTTTTCCCTCTCCCTTCCTCTCTAAGAAAATATATTTTTAAAATAATAATAANATAGACATTTTATAAAAGAAGACATACAGAGGGCGAACAGTCACATGAAAAGGTGCTTAATATCACTAATCATTAAGGAAATGCAGGTCAAACCCACAATGAGATATCACCTCACACCTATCAGAATGGCTATTACCAAAAAGACAAAACATAGCAAGTGTCGATGCACTCACTGTGGCAAATCGTATGGAGGTCCTTTAAAAAATTAAAAATAGAGCTACTACACAATCAGGCAATTCCACTGACAGGGATTTATAAAAGAAAATGAAAACACTAATTCAAAGAGATATATGCACCCCTATGTTCATTGCAGCACTATTTACAATAGCCAAGATATGGAACCAGCCCAAGTGTCCATCAACAGATAAATAGATAAGGAGATGTGCTGTATATATACAATGGAATATTACTCAGCCACAAAAAATGAAATCTGGCCATTTGTGCAAACAGGGATGGATCTAGAGAGTATTATGCTAAGTGAAATAAATCAGGCAGAATAAAGACAAATATTGAGTGATTTCACTTACATGTGGAATCTAAGAAAAACCCCCAAAAAACAAATGAACAAACTAAACAAAACAGAAACAGATTAATAGATATAGGAAATAGACTGGTGGTTACCAGTGGGAGTGATGCAGGCATTCTGGGCAAGGGTCCCCACCCATTGTGAGTTCTTGGCTCCTCACAGGAAAGAATTCAAACGTGAGCAGCAGATTTAAAGTGAAAGCCAGTTTATTAGTGAAGCAGTGAGTAGGCTACTCCACAGGTAGGGCAGCCCCCCTTCAGCAGAACNGAGTTTAAAGTGAAAGCCAGTTTATTAGTGAAGCAGTGAGTAGGCTACTCCACAGGTAGGGCAGCCCCCCTTCAGCAGAACTTGCTTCCTTTATTGAGGTTTATTTAATGCATAGGGTATTCAATAAGGGGGTAGAATATTCAGGATTTTCCCTGGAAAGGGGCGGAGATTTCTCAGAGGAGCTTCCCCAGCCATTTTCTGTCATATGGGGTTTTCATCTCCAATCATGGCAACTTGAGTTGTGTCATTTAGCATGTGAATGTGTTACAAGGAGCACATAATGAGCCAGGGGTTACCCTTCAGTGAAATTAGTCGCAGTGTTGGATCGAGCTGGTCTCTGCGGGTTTTAAGCCACAAATCCAGTGGGGGGTGGCCTTACTCTCTTCTCGACCATTCCTCTAGCTTTTATTTTATTTATTTATTTTTAATCCTCACTGGACGATATGCTCATTGATTTTTTTTTTTCTTTTTTAGAGAGAGAGAGAGAGAAACATCCATGTTAGAAACATCGATCAACTGCCTCCTGCACACGCCCTGACCAGGGATCAAACCCACAACCTTTTTTGGTGTACATGGAGATGCTCCAACCAACCGAGCCACACCGGCCAGGGCTGTAGCTTTTATTGATTGCAACTGTTTTGCCACATACCCTATTTCAGGAGAAAGGGTTAGGGGATGGCACAACCTGGGCATGTGCCCAGACCAGAATCCAACCGGGATCCTTTTGGTGCATGGGACTGCACTGAACCAACTGAGCCACATGAGCATAGGTCTCAACTTCTTTCTTTAGATGGCATTTAGAGTGGCTATGTATTCCTCTAAGTCTTGTTTCATGACTCCTGAATCCAATCTTTTCTGCCCAACAATTCCATCTCTTTGAAATATCTATCTGCTGATGCCTGAGTTCATACCTGGATAACTCTTCTCAGCAACATCATTCATACCCTTGATATGGTTCTAATTAGCTAGTTATTAACAACAAGAAAGGAGCAAAGGGAAGTCAATATTATAGGCATGTCACTTGGGCAGCCTCAACGGGAAGCCGCAACTTTACCTTCCCCAGGGGTCCAATGGAGGGGAGATAGACACATGCCCAATAAAGCTGGAGTCATGTCAGGAAGGTACTTGCCTGTCAGTCACACCTGGGAACAGGTCCTTGGCCAGAACAGGCATGGCCACTGCAAGGGCTTGAAATTTGCAATATTTCATCACCTAAACAAATAAATTTTCTCCCTTGGCTGTCTTGGGACTTCGTTGCAGGAGGCACGCTCTTTTGGCTCCCCTACATTTGCCCCCACACAGTGGACTAATGAACTGCAACTCGCCTGATGCCGAACTGGACCCGGCTGCAACAGGCAACGGAAGCTCTGGACACTGGCTTTGCTTCTAGCTCGACTGAAACCCCAGCTACACTTCTCCCATGACTGGACTCAAGAAAATGGGATTTTACAAACAGAGAGATGTCATTCCACACAAGTAAATATCACTCATCCTCTCGTGAGAGTCTCACAAAATTCTTTTTCTCACGATATCGTAAGGATTCCACCCCCAGCACTCAGTGGGGAAAGGGACACCCCAATTTCCCCGATAAACCTCTGACATAGTGGGGGAAAACCCTAGATCTTTGATGAGAGTTTTGT